GAGAGGTTATGAATTTAAAATGAGAAATTTGTGTTGAATTTTAAAGCAGAAACTGTAAATAATATCATCACCTCGGCGAGCTGATAATGACATCAGTTAGTTATTTATGTGGACCTGCACAATCATTTAATACGTAATTCAGTTGTTTATACATTTTTTCATTTTGATTTTTTTAATAGCTTGACCACAAATAGACATTCTGGGTAAGCAAAGAAAACATTAGAACTGAAGTAGTTTATCAACAGGTCTGCTCGCAGCTCTGTGAGGCTGAAGACTGTGAGCTTTATGCTTTATGCTGTTGATGATAGCAGGAAGTCTGTAATGTTCATATGCTCACTGCCTGAGTTTAGTAGTTTAGTGTATTGGCGTGCTTTTCCAGATACTAGCAGGTACGGTTGAAGCTAGTNGGAAGATTACAAATTATCTTGTAAAGAATAACAGAAAAATACCATGAATATATTAGGATTTGCATTAAAGATAGAAAGAAATCTGTAATTTGACATCTAATAGAGAACCATGAATAGTTTTGGTGCCTAAACATAACAAAACAGTGAGTTACAAGAAACTAATGGTTCCAAAAGAGATTCAATCTCCTGGATGAAGGTCCTGTATCAGATGTATTCCTCCACCCTCTAATGCCGACTCTGTGGCTCTTTGCAAGTGGAAATGTTTCGTCCTATGTCAAGGAAGGAAATGTGTTTCTTTTAAAACCAGATGGACAGTGCACTTCAGTTGTATAAGAATCTACTTTTTTGTCTTTTTTACAGTACAATAAAAGAAGAAGAACAATAAAAAACAATGATAATCTGATTTTGGACCAAAATTCTGAACAATGTACATGAGCTGAGAACCAGCGAGCAGACTGGTCTCCTTGACAATAATGGTGCCTTTGATTGAAGGTAATTCTCAAAGTTATCCACAATGAAGAAAAAGAGCATTTTAGTTTTAACAATTACAAACTGATACATGCAAACAAGTACTGGTGACTTCTACGGTTTTTCAAAATGTTCACAAATGTGCACAATCCAGCTTAAATTCAATATAACTGGCAAGACGGATGCACATATTCAGCTCCTCCTGCTGACTGCACAGATATATTTTTAGGATATTTCTGTACTGGTTTTCCAGGACACGTGGATGTGAATTCATAGTAAAGCAACATTTTTCACACATTTGCATTAACCCGAGTCAGGACTGTTGGGGTCTTTTAGCCATTTGGTTTAGGTGACAGGTATTGTGTTTTTTTTTAAATTTTTGAAGCTGTTTGTAAAGATAAAAAGAGGGACATTGGTCATGCATTTGGAACCAAAAATACGTCAACTTATCAGAAAATGTATTCAACATAGTATAAAAGTCTATAATGAAAACCAACACATATTCTTTCTTGGGGTCCAGTGGACCTCGAAAGACCTTCTACGTATGGCCACGTGAAGTCCTGAACAGGGTTAAACACTCGGCTCATTGAGATCAACTTAGCCTCGACTGAAAAGTGAACAGGAGCAGGCGGCAGCAGCAGGGGGCGCTGTTAGAAGTACGTGGTCAGGACGGGTTGTTTCCAGCAGCCTTCAGTTTACACAGGAAGCTACAGGACTACATGAGTTTAATAAAGTGTCTTGAGTCACATTCATCAGTTTGTACGCAGTCTCTGATAGTTTTATGTTGGCAGTGCAGCCTATTAAAAAGCTGCACAGCTGACTCACGGTTCAGTCTCTGTGTTACATGAATTCTTAGATAAATCAGTGTCAGATCAGTTTGTATATAAAGCAGCTGACCAGATCTGTCTCTCTCAGTTCAAATAAGTCAATTAAAACATCAGCAGGGAGGAAAAAAGTACACGACAACAGCTTCAATACTGTCAGGGCTTCACATCTGTGCAGATGTTACTTTAAGCGTCCTCACAGCCTCACCAGAAGTTTTCTTGTTGCTAAATACTTCAACAATGAAATCAGTCCAGTGTTCATATACAAGAGACTAGAAATGCTGGTGATCGATCCTGGACAGATCCCAACCTACTGGCAGCTTCTTTAAACCTGCAGTTTGAAACTCTCGTCTCCCCTTTCTGTCAGTGAGAGTAACGACACCAACACTCTTCATCAGCAACGCGTGAACCCATTTGGTGAGAGCTTAAAGGAAACTCATTTATATATAAAAGTCCTGCACTCCAGCTTGAACGTGACACAGAATGAAAATGTCTTCAAAAGCAGAAGTACATTTTCTGGTCAGCAGGGTGTTTCAGGGAAGATGCTTTAATGAGAGACATTCTGTTGATGATTTAATTTTTTCTCAGCAACCTCCTGGCAGCACTTTCAAAACTGCCACAGCTCATGGGTGGGTCGCAACACTGACTTTGGAAAACATCCTATAATTTCAGCATTAGGTCGAGCTCTTTGAGGAATGGGCCGAGATTAATCTCACTTTTCCAGTTGTACAGTTTCTATACGGTGCACTTTACCTCAGATCGCTTTGCTCCTTCTGTAAATGGAGCAGAATGATTCAGCTTCCTCTTCTAACGCTAATTTGTATAATTTTAAATCTGCATTTTAGGCATATTTGTAGCTCATTCCTTTACGTGATTTACGACGAATGCACTTTGAAGAATATCCTAAATGCCACAATTACCAGTGAACAGTCCAAACTTTTCCCATTAGAGCCGCGTTACGCAAACAAGACACGTGACCAACAAAACTGCAGAATGATCAAAGGTGGTCATTAAGTCGCCAAATTAGACCATGTGGAAGAGGGAGAAGAAAAATTAAGAGCCTCTGCTCAGAGTGCAGCGACCTCTGAACCCCTCGGCCGCTGCACAGCCGAGCGAGTGTGACTGCGTGTGACGGCGTGGGGTTAACCGGAGAATGCATGAAGTCTGCTGGTACCTCGGCTAATTGAGCCATTTGTTGCAAGGTCAGTGGAGTTCAACCTCCCACCCACCCCTCCACCGGACAAAACCTTGTTATCAACAGCAGTAAAATAGTGATCTTCCATTATGCACTGGAGGATGTTTAGTCACAAAGACCAAACTGAAAATAATCAGCATGCTCGGACACGGACGGTTTATAGTTATGCACCAGATCAGCCAAAGAGGATGTGGCACAAAAAGAAAAACCTGGCGACACCTTGCTGGTATTGTCTTTATGGCCTATGCAAACACGAAGCACAGTTTCAGCTCAGAGTGTGTGTGTGTGTGTGTGTCCTTTAAACAACCAGTATCAGGGTCATTTATAGAAGATTTGGGCAAAGGGCAACATGCCACATAGTGAAGAGCTTTTCAAAGTCAGTGAACTAGAAGTGAAGATTGATGTCTTTCCCAAAGAAAACTAAAATAATAGCTACATAAAGTGTGTTACTTTGGTCTTGAGACAGTCCAAAAGTCCCAAAAAAAGCAAACATTGGAAGCTGTCAGCTGAGTGATGTGAGGTACAGAAGCTGTCCCAATGCTCCAGTCCTCCAGTCAGAGCTCTGTGTGTTTGTTGTGCAACTGAAAGGGAGGAGGAGAAATAATGTGGAAGCTCTCCCAGCAGGTTGATGTGTCTGTGTGAAGAGCTCTGCTGTGCATCATTGTGAGGACGGAGAGGAAGGAGTCCCTCCCTCTGAAAGCGCTCTGTGTGGGGAACATGAGAGACGAGGCGAAGCTCAGAGGTGAGACGAGCATCTGTGTCAGAGCTCAGCACTCACATCACTGCGCCATCGTTATTCACACTCAAAGCTCTGTGTGTTGTGTTTAAGCTCAGAGCAGCAGTACTCTGCTGGAACCTGGAGCTGGAGCTGGACCTGGACCCAGACCCAGCTGTGTGTCCATGAAGAGTGACTGGTCAAAGAGTCCTCCTCTTGATTTCAGACAGTCTGCAGATGGAAGGTGATAATGTAAAGCTGTCAGAAAGGCATTTCACACAGTGTTGGTTGTTGTGTTTATTGGAAGCTTGAATATATATATATTTATTTATTTTTAACTATTTTTTCTGTTCTGGTGACCAGTCAAAGGACAATGTCATTACCTTCAGAGACTGAGGGGGGAGACATTATCTGGTTTAAATATGTAGATAACTTGTTCCATTTTCAGACAGCGTACCTTCTGTTTGTCTCAGTGTGGACAGACGTACTGAGAGCTATCTGTTGATGATTGATTTACAGAGTCGACCAGCAGAGCTCAGAGGTTCTTAGTGGTCAATCTGCCCAGCAGCATCACCTGGACTCCATATTCATGGTGTGTATATGAAGAACAACTACTTCTCCATCTGTTGTGTTCAGTCATCTCCATACTGCACTTCAGAGACCAGTGGACTGTCAATGTGTCCAACATGGGTCTTATGTTTAACTCCATGATTTCACTCTGATTGGCTCATTTGTTGATTGGCTCACTCTGTTCCAGCTGCTGGAGGACAGCATTGTCAATTTTGTAAAGAACGAGTTAAAGAAAATGCGAAAGGTTCTGAGTCCAGATTCCACAGAATGCTCAGAGGGAGGAGGATGAAGAGCAGAGGAGGGGCAGCAGGGAGGCATTTCTGCAGATCACGCTGCATTTTCTGAGGAGGATGAAGCAGGAAGAGCTGGCTGATTGTCTGCAGAGCAGTAAGAGGATTTCTCTACAGACTGAACCTACTGGATAAACGGCACATTCACCAGTGTCTCCAAATATGTTCACATACTGAGTCTTTAGGGGAATGTACTGCTGTCACAATATTCATTGTTAAATGTTTTAACTGATTTCATTTGTTTTGTGTTCATTTAGAATTTGCTGCTGCAACTTGTGGACGTAAACTTAAATGTTGTCTAAAGAAGAGATTCCAGTCTGTGTCTGAAGGCGTCGCGAAAGCAGAAGAGTCAACACTTCTGAATGAGATCTGCACAGAGCTGTACATCACAGAGGGAGGGACTGCAGAGGTCAGTGATGAATGTGACTTCACACAGATTGAAACAGCATCTATGAAAGCAGACAGAGCAGAAACAAATATCTGACTAGAAAACATTTTTAAAGGCTCTGGAAGAGACCGATTAATCCGAACAGTGATGACAACAGGAGTGGCTGGCATCGGGAAAACAGTGTTAACACAGAAGTTCACTCTGGACTGGGCTGAAGACAGAACCAACCAGGACATCCAGTTCACATTTCCATTCACTTTCAGAGAGCTGAATGTGCTGAAAGAGAGAAAGTTCAGTTTGGTGGAACTTGTTCATCACTTCTTTACTGAAACCAAAGAAGCAGGAATCTGCAGGTTTGAAGACTTCCAGGTTGTGTTCATCTTTGACGGTCTGGATGAGTGTCGCCTTCCTCTGGACTTCCACAACAATGAGGACCTGACTGATGTTACCGAGTCCACCTCACTGGATGTGCTGCTGACAAGCCTGATCAGNTGTCTGCCACTTTTACTGGAGTGTTTCTTGGGGTGAGATTTGCAGTTTTTACAGACAAATAACGGTGAAGTCGACACATTCAGACTGATAGAACGGACTGCATGTCTGAAAGGCTCTTCTATCTCACCCAGCTAAAAAAATAAGCATTGAAAAGAAAATGTAACGACTAAAAACGGTCTACGGACTGAGCTTTCCTGTGCCGACTCCTGTGTGGATGCACTCAGACTCCTCTTCCACTGAGGGATTATTACCGGCCTTTCAGGTGCACTCACTTTTGCATTTACCTTCGAGCAACGTGAATGAGGTAATCTGGCTAATCTGCTCACGTTTAATGCCTGACTGCACTTTGTTGCAACGATGTTACCGTGTTCGACATCGCGGGCGCTGTTTCAGAAGATTATTATCACAGATTGTACTTATTAAAATCAATTTGTGCTCACCTGCGGGTATCCTTGAAGGTATGAACGAATCTTTGCGACTGCATTTTATTCGGACTGCATGTTAATAAAACACCGTCTGCAACTGCCCCGGTGACATATTAAAAACAGCCTTAAAAAGAAATAAGCACAGACAGAAACATAGCAAAGTAAATATTCCATCTTTTTAGAATCTTGATTTGTGAACCCGACAAACTGAGCGGTTAAATGAAGTCAAGGTAGTGCTGACAGTGACGGAGGAGGAATCAGCCTGCAGGCACACGGGGAGGGAAAAAAAAAACCTTTCCTTTAATGCAGTGTAAACATTAGCTTGGATGGTATGTCGTGCTACTTCTACACACACACACACACACACACACACACACACACACACGGATTCTCTCTGGAGACATAAATATTTCAGAGAGTTGTTGTTAGTTTCAGTCTGCTGGGCTGGACAAGCCCACAGCGAAAGAGCAAACACCGGTTTCTGGAGCAGAGGGACACGAGTTCAGATGAAACAAAGTCAATAAAAGCAATCTGGCTTAATGATTTTAGGTTTTGTTGCATCTATAGGAAGTTTTTTTTCTGTTCTTTTTGTGGTGAAATGAGAATTTTGAAAATAAATAAGCTCAAGAAATCAGTATTTTATGCACCAACTTCTTTACTCTGCGCTGAAAGTGGATTTTCTGGGATCTGCTTTAGCTCGACCTTTGACACCCATCAAATCAATTAGCCTCATTATCTTCATTAAGATGCCAGATGTTACATGGCAACAGCTTCAGCATTCATTTGCAGATATCAATGCGTCCTTCCTGGAGGTTTTTTCTCAGACTGACTGTAAGATAACAGAATAATCTGATATACATCCTGTGCATCCAGGTTTCTCCGACTTTACACAAAATGTATTTATCTTAAAATTAGCATTAACACAGCTCTGCCAGTGGGTGGAAATGTTTAGCTGTTGTTTTATTCATCGAATCTTCTGCCTTGTGTCTCCGAAAACATATTAAATTGTGCCTTAACTTCCAAATTTCCAAAAACATATTAAGCAAAAAAAAAAAAAATGTCGCTGCTCTTTAATTCAATACCAACCGAAACAGAACAGCTTGTCACAAAATGTCGCACACATTTTAAATAAAATAAGACTTTAAGAGTCTGGATGAGACTGATGGATGTAAGATTTCTTCGGTGCAGCTTCTCCGTCATAAAGTATCATAAGCTAATTGGAAAAGATTCAGAATATGACACTTTCATTTGGTTCTCTTCATCTCAGCAGATATCACATTCTCGCCCTAAAATAAATACCTAAATGCGCTTCCAAAACCGCTGGCATATTTATCAGCGCATCTCTCTGATCTGACGAAAGCCGTGCTGTGAAACACAACATAATTTTCTGCTTTCATGCCGTGCGGCTCAGTAGCCATGAAACTGCCAAGTGTGCTGCCTCATTTTGCGAGGGGTCACTCATCTGAATCACGCAGTTTGCCTGTCAACTGTTTGTGTATAAGCCTGAGGACACTGAGCAGGGAGGACTTGTCCAATCTGACAGGGAGAAAAAAAAAGAGAACGTCTCTATTTACTCCAAAGAGCTTTGGGCTCTGCAGTCGTTACAGGAAGTGAACACATCGCGAATAAACACTCGCAAAAGGAGATAAGTTTCATGACGGAGCCGTCACCTGACGAGAGAACCTGTCGTATGGAAACACCTGTCAGAGCGTTAGAGGAGCAACATTGAAGTAACCTTTCAAAATAATTACACAAGTGGTAGAAAGAGATGCTGGAAAATTGTTCCTATCTGTGTTATGTGATAAACCTTCTGCACACACAAAACATCCACATTCAGTTTCTGTCCAGTCCAGACGCAGTGATGCTGTGTTCCTGCTCTGTGACGGCCTCGACTCTCTGCTCTGGATCTGCTGCTTTGTCTTCCAGGTTGTTTCCTTGGATTCCCCCCGGTGCATCTCCCAAACATTACGCTCCTCTACAACTAAACTACATTCTCATTGTCAGAGGATGAGGATGCTGGGTTCCAGACATCAGCTCCAGCTTTGTCGTGCATTCGGCTAAAACACAACAGGCTGTGATGTCAACATTCAACTTTTAAGCCAGTGTGATCAAAAAGTATTTAAAGTACTCATAAAAGATGAAATCTGGATGTAGGCCATCAGTAATTTGAGATTGTTGGTCACCAGGTTGCATGTTTGTGGGTCAGAGGCCGTCATTGTGGCGACAGACCGACATGATGCTGCCTTTTTATGGTTAAAGCCCGTTACTAAAAGGTGATAAACATGCAGATGTTTAACACATTGTTTAGTCTGTGATGCATCACAAATACGTTTCAGATCAACATTTCTTTGCCATTTATTTTACTGCTTTACCATCACTTTCTTTTCGGCCTGCTAACTCGTCATCCTCATGACCTGGAAAATGAAGGAGAAGCTTTAAACATGTTGTGCAGAGTCCGAACACACAAAAACTGCATGTGTATAATCACTGTAGTAAAAATCAGGTAAAAACTG